GTGTGTGTGTGTGTGTGTGTGTGTGTGTGTGTGTGTGTGTGTGTGTACATTGCACAATAGGTGCTAAGGGGCATAAACCTGGAGAGGTATGTGGAATTCCCCTCATTCATACAACAAGGGGGATTCAGATGCGCTAATGCAAACAAACGTGTTAAATGTTTTAATTAAAACCGTAACTTTGGTTTAAAATGCAGTGTAACAGAGATGTGCTTAAAAGTAATAATAAGTATACTGCAAACCTGTTGGCATAGCTGTTTATGCGTTTCCTGCTCTTATAAGCTAAGCTAACCTGCACCTTGATCTGGGATCATATTGAACATGGTATCAACTTTTAACCTTCAAAATTAAATATTTTAATCTATTTCTATACCACAAAGATGGGTTGTTAAAGCCCAGGCTGGGATAAAACACATGCACACACACATAGACACATACAGAGTACAAATGAAAGATTGCTGGGTCAATTCATCTCCCTATAACGGTTTCTTCTTTCCATTCAGGGATTTCTGGTGAATGCAAATGTGATTTTCACAATATCTACAAAGCAAAACGTAAGTACACCTCTGTAACTGTCTCATAATGCTGGGAATGATTATAGGTTCCTGATTGGGTTATAATCACTGAGGAGAATAAAGAGCTGAAGCACCTCTGAACATTTTCTGCACAGAAGTTAACAATCAGCTTGACCAAAGGAGCAATTTTGTCTAATAAGACCACCTACCTCGGCCCTGTGGGGGTTCATCATTTGTATATGTATGTTGCAAATACACATAAAACGAAAAGAGCATGCCCAAAAATGCTTGCAGTTGTCTCCTAAATGGAGCACACTGGGATTACTTACCAAGATGACAGAGGATGAGCAGCCACACATTGCAGAGAGCTGGGGTGAGCAGGGTGGGTGGGTGAGGGCAGGGGGGACAGTCTGTGGCACCGTGCGCAGGGAAAGACTGAGGTTATTTCTTTCTTCTTAGTGTTCAGTCTCTGTCTGCAAAAGGACGTTTTTAGCGTGACATAAACCTCTCCAGACATACAAATGCATCTTTTTCCACAGTCCATCACTTCTCTGTCTATCTTTAAGCTGAGCCTTCCTTTTGAAATCATTCAACCAAAAACAAGCCTGATTTTGACATACTCTGAAGCTGGAAAATGTAATAAATGTCACTTTTCCTCTGGCACACTTTTATCTGAGACTATTTTTTGCCGGCATCAGAATATGAAACACTTTCTGGATGACAGTCCCGCCGCCTTTAAGGCCTCTCAAACCCCTAGCCTCTGATCAAGGATAAAAGTTGACATGTGGGCACACAATCAGCCAGTCTTCTTCTCCTGTTTTAAACCCTCTCTCTTATCCTGTAGTGAATCCCTGAATACAAGGACCCCTCTCCCTGATCTTTGTGAACAATACCAGTGCCACACACTCCGAGTGTTCCTTTGAAGCTTTCAGACCAACCTGTGCTGCTGTCTCAAAGTCATATCTCCCCGAAGCAGATCACCGTGCAGATAGCGAGGGATGTTTGAAAATACATATATGTTCAGAACCCCCTGTGTGTTATTGAAGCTGGTGGAGTTCAGAAACAGGAATGTGATCATGTGATAACGGTGAGAATAAAGCAGCAGATACCATTGAAGATAATCTTTGAAATGTCTCGTTGTTTATTTCTTCACTGGGAGCCCTCATACTTGGGACTTTACCGGGCGATGTTTGGCTTTGCTGTTCATTCCCTCCCAACTGTTGACATATTGTTGGAATTGAACTGTTTCTTCCTAAATGCAATTTTGATTTTATTACTCCTCATTCCACATTTACAGTGTTTATAACCAACGCAGGCTGTCAAGATATGCATTTCACATACCCACACTGCATAAAACCCATTTATATGCTCAGTAAACTATACTGCACGCTGTGGTTCACTGCTGGGCTTTGCAGAGAGGACCTGCAAAAAATATTCTCATTTTGGTTTTCATAAGCCTCGTCTCTCTCAAACACATGTTGTCCTGACAGAATTACAGCATGCCCATCCTGCAGTGCCTCGAGTTTCCAGCACTTTCCTTTGATCCAGAGAGGAAATCTCATTCCAGTGTCATGTATAAAAGCTTTGTTTATCCTTTCAGTCATTACAGGGGGATGCAGACGTTTGGCCAACACATGTGGTCCGTAACATGTGGAGGGCAGCCCCGCCGTGTACGGATGGAGACATCATATATAGTGGGATAACTCACATTACTCTCTGATGAAAGAAGCTTTCTCTATTTCCGTTACAGTCATACATTCAGGAGCTTTATTCCTCCCACAAAGCGATCACAGCTTCTGCAGTGTGTGAAGCCGAGCCACTGGATGGCAGATGTTTTTAGGGAATTCTACCTTGATGAAACTGGATATATATTGTCGTGGCGTGTGGAGACAGAATGAGACAATTTTCTCTGTGGCTCAAAACAGAAGCAGGTGCAGTGCCCGTAAACATCCACATCCAAGCAGCAGCCTCTTATACATTACAATTAAAACAAGATGTCCCTGTGAATGAGTCAGAGGCACACAAATAGGTTCAAATTGTACCCCGAGGCTCGGCCTTTGGGACAGTGGAAGGCTTTGGAGTAGTACCGGTTTAATGTAATTAAGAATTTGCTCACGAGCAGGATGAGCCCTGGGGGTCAGTGGAAGGAAGAGTGTGGTTACGATTTACGTTTACGTCTGTCTCGTGATTCTATCAGAGGATTACCACTTCCTCTTTCCTGTTTGCTTCCTCTCGGCCAAACAGCTGTTCTCACATGCCAGCCAGAAGGAGTGTTCTCGCAGATAGCAAATGTTAATTAAAGTTGTGGATCATTTGCTTGCTCTTCTCCATTTCTCATTCTCACATCTGGTTTATCTTTGAGTGTTGGTCTCTGTCAGTTAGGGAGAGGGCTAGGGTGGCTCTACACCTCTCTAACCCCCCTTTTGTCTTCCAGACGTCACCCTGAGGACAATTCAGTCTGTGTGTCAGCTGTGTGGCGATACAACAGAGAATGCACTAGACAGACACCTCACGAGATAGGTATTACTTTATCACCACTTAAAATACTGAACAGCTGCTCTCTCTGAAGTGAATTCAAGAATTTGGATCATCATCAGATGCACAAAACAGTCTTTGCTTTAAATGCTAGCCTACAACATTACAATCTATGAATGTTTGCACTTCCTTTCTTAATCCTCTGCCTGACACGGCATCTTTCATCTTCCCCTCTGATCTCCCAGCCTTTGAAACGAGCAGCTCCACACCTGCTCCCTGCCAGACGTTTAAACAGCAGACGGGCTGTTGAACGCACCCTCACACCCTCACTTTGTTTATAATTCCACCACGGCATGAGCCAGAAAGCAGGTTTACTGACTAAAAAATACAGAACACTCTCGAGTCTGGAACATGGCCATATGTCTGAGTTATCCACATAAATCAAGTATCTACTTCCTAAAGCAGGTTAATCTCATAACAAAGATAGCATGAGCATGATGTTTACTCTGCTGTTAGCTGGTGTATTTGAGCAAGAATCCAACAAAATGAACACACTTGTGACGCATTAAAATAATGAATTGTGAAAAATCTACACGATACATTGTGAACTACTGAAATATGTCTTTTTTGTTGCCATAATACTGAGTATGTTACGCTCTGAATAGATGGAGTTCTCCCAGTGAGACTTTGTCCTCTAGTCTAGAGGGAACCAACTATATCTATAGTAATACCCACTTATGGATGAAGTCCCTTTAAGATTTGCTTTGAAGGCATATAGCCCCATCAACTGAGCGAAGCATGCAATTACACTTTAAACAGTGTGTTTAACAAATGTTCATAGATCAAGAGTGGTTTGGTGAGGCATGCAATCAATGTGACTGGTTAGACTTTAACTCAAACTTGGATCGTTCCAGTGTTTTCCAGAGGGGGAAGTTAATAATTAAATCGTTTTTGTTCCGTTGTACAGTTTAATGTGGTAGAATTGAGACCTGGTTTAAAAGTGGTTGAGACTGGTCTGTTCTTGCTGCACAGTGAGGCCAATGTCCATCAGAGCCCTGGAGCTCCATTAGGCTTTGTTCCAAGGCCCTTCATCAACTGTCAGCACCTTCAGCAGCAGAAGGCTTTCTTCACTTTCACAGCTCACCCTTCTATCCATCAACCTTTTCTGTGGGGAGAGAAATCGACCAAACAAACAGAGGGTTAAAAGTGCATGAACAGGATGTAACGTACTGTATTTGTGAGGACAAATTCACCTTTAGGGATGAATGTGAGTGAGCTGCTGAATATTCAGAAGCGGGATAGCCCTTCCTTTGGTCCATCGTACAAGAACTCATGGCCCAATCCATTGCCACACTTCCCACAACTAACCTGGGATATTAACATCAAGAAGGGTTCATCAAAACGCAACACCTAAACATCACATGATTAATAACATGTACATTGTAAAGTAAATAATGAAAATGTCCTCTCTTTTAATAACAAACATCCAGCAGTGTTACTTTTGCGAAGGTGATCTACCTTTAGGGGTCCCCATGCTTCAGGGTGTTTGGTGACACTGTCCTCGTGAATTGTCTGTGAAAAGGCCGGCCAGGGAGTAGAGTGCTCAAACTTTGACATGCTGGAAAATAACTTGTGCCCGCATTCAGAGCAAACATAAATGCCTGTGAAGAAGAAGAAAAAACATGAGTGGACTTTAATTTTCTCCACAGTGGGACATCATGCTTCTTTGCTACTCACCAGGTAGGAAGTGATTTTTGTATTCTTCTCCACCAGAGAAAGAGCAATATGACATTTCATCCATTTCAAATGTCTGTGTGTTTGAACCAAACAGGATTTCTCTTTAGTTTGAAATGTTTGTTTACAAGTCTCGCCCGACTTTAGCTGGACTTGTATGTCTGAGTGAAGGTGTCAAGTGTCAGCTGCTCTGTCCTGCTTGTGTAATGTCTGATCTCATTCTCTTTACATCCACTTGAGGGCAGCGTTTACTTCACTGAGAAGTAGCGTTAATGTAGAAAAAAAGAGTATTTCCAAGCTACGTGCTACTACTTTCACACAAGTAAAATATATGAGTACTCCACCTCAGGATACCATGCTCATTACTAGTAATACTTCAGCAGTACTTTCTCTCAATTCTGATACCGTAGTTTTTAACCTGAGATCCAGTTTGGTCATGAATAAGAGACTCCATCATTCCTACTTATTTCATTACTTAATAACATTTTTAAAAGAGAAAAGAAGAACACAGACATAAGATCAGAAACAGAGCATTGTGAGTTAAGTTCTTTTAAAATAGATTTATTTCAGTTTGCATAGCCATCATTGTAAACAATGTACATAAAGCTTAAGAGTGAAAATAGAATTATTATTAATGTTCTGTATCTGGCACATCAAACACAGCAGGTAGATGCATTTGTATTTGACTTCATAAAAAAAACATATCATCAGAAAACGTCATCTAATCTTAGTACCAATTCCTTGGGTTTTGAAACCAGGGTTAGAAATAAACAGCAATATTCAAAGCTTTTGCCGTTCTTGGGGTGAATCCAAGAAAAGCAACAGTGTGTGTGTGTGTGTGTGTGTGTGTGTGTGTGTGTGTGTGTGTGTGTGTGTGTGTGTGTGTGTGTGTGTGTGTGTGTGTGTGTGTGTGTGTGTGTGCGCACACGTTAGTCTTAAAGACCCCCATAGAGCTCAGTTTATAACTCGAACTCTGTAAATAAGTGTTTCAAAATCTGTAGTGACTGTGACAGTGAGACTACGCTGAGATGGTGATGATTGCATCGTAAAAAAGTGTTGAGACCAGTCCTCTGTTTATGCTGTTCAGTGTGGACATCATTCTTCAGAGCCCTGGCGCTCCCAGATTGGGCTTTATCCCAGAACACTTCATCTACTGTCCACACCTTCAGCAGCTCAGAGAAACCGCTACAACTCTAGCAGCATTTTCCTCTAACGGCTCACCTTACTGTCCATCAACCTTATCTGTGGAAAGGGGAGAGAATAGAGTTGATTCACAGGTTGTACATCGCAGCCAATGCATCTTTACTAGGGTGGTATCTGTTCCCATTTGTGTAATGCCAGACCTAACCAATGTAAAAAAAGAAAAAGAATTGGGGTATCATGGAAATGTACCATAAGTCAATACTGTAGGTATATCTGTGGTTGATTTTCTAACAGTTTAAATTCACTCCTACTAAATGTTCTCAGACAGAAGGGTGTCGCCTTGACCATTTGTCAGGCAATTATCATCTGGATCTTACGTTTGTGATTACCAAGGATGCAAGTTTCGCCCATCTGGCCAACATGTCAATAGCCTGTAATGTAAATTCCCTATCTGAGACTTTCCCCTTTCCTGTGTCTCATTCCTGTATAAAGTGCTTGTTTTTCTGTTGTAACAGCGCCAGACCTTCGTAATACATCAGTAGTGCAGGTTTATCAGCTTTAACTCTTTATTAAATACCACAACTTTGGTTTAAACTTGTATTTGTTCATTTCTTACCAGAAGGTGATTAAGTGTGGAATTTCCACCACACAGGGGAAATGGTCTGTGTTTGCTAATGACTGCTAAATATGAGACGTACCTTTAGGGACGAACTTCAGTGAGCTGCTGAATATTCAAAAGCGAGACATGCCTTTGCCTGGCCCATCATTCATAAACTCATGGCCTAGTCCATTTCCACATTTCCCACAATGCACCTGGAACAACACAGCAGAATCAGAAGTTGATGCATTAATCAATGTACTTGTTTATTTAAAGCTAGCTATGTACAGAAGATGATAGTAGGGTTTAAACAAGTATGAAATGTGTTTTATAGCATTCTAACTGATAGGGTCCTCGGTCAAATAAATAAATCAAGCTATTTTGTATTGATTGTACCTTATACGCCCCAGATCTCTCCTGTTGTTTGGACACACTGTCCTCATGGATGGTCTCTGTGAAGGCTGGCCAGGGAGACGAGTGTTCGTACTTGGAGCGGCTGGTGAACAGCTGGTGATCACATTTGGAGCAGACATAAACCCCTGAGGATTAAAGCATGGGAGAGGATGGTTCGTAAAAAATTATATGATGCAATATAAGACCTATTTTTATATTATTGTTATTAAGGATTTATGATGGCCCAAGCTTATACTTAACTTGACATCAAGTTAGTACCACTATTTTCTCATTGTGACCCGGTATGATAGTACCGGTCTTTCAACAAAAAAACTTTGAAAAAGGATATACTTCATCACAAACAAATTAGAAAATGTTACTTTTTTATGGTAATGACATTGTTACATAATGTGTTGTCACAAACAAAAACACTGGCTCATATGTTCCATAGTGCACACATATAGTGGCTCTAATCAGGATTTGGTACAAACACATTTCTTCCATATAACAACGGTATATAAAAAGTAAAACAAAACAAAAAAACATTTTATATGCCTTTGTAGTAATTCTTAGAAATAATGATGTATTACTTTAAGGGTGTCATACTTAAAAGGAAGTATTATTTCTTGTAAACATCAACTAGTTTTACAATATAGTTGTTGTGTAACCTGAACATGGGTTACACAACTTACAACACTGTTTCATAATTTCAATGTCCACACATTTAGCTTTCTGTGAACATATGAATCGTCTTAACAACATTTTTTAAAGGTGTATTGTAGCTAAAGCCTTATTAATGGACACTAGTGCATCATTAGACGGATATTGCAAATGTATTAAGCGTTACATGGAGTAGTTAGCTAACAGTGGCTAGCTAGTTGTCGTTACATTTACTTTTGCCAAACATTCTCTAAACAGCAGACCGTATCAAGCAGACATTTGAATAAAGTACACACATTTGAAGATATACCTGTTTGAAAATGGTCTTTATAGACCTCTCCGCCGAAGAAACTACAGAACGACATTTCCCTGCTCTCCGGGCAATGTTTGGTAAAAGTTATCTCACCACAGGCACTCTCTGATGGAAAAAAACATCCCATCCGGTTTGATATTCAGGCCTTCAAAATAAAACCGGAGGACTTTAACATGAAGTTAAAATGTGCCGCACAATCAAAGACTTTAACAGTGTATTCCATAGACTGTATTTATAAAGGTTTATTTGCAATGAATTGATATAAGTATGTATGTATTTATTATAAAAGACTATTGTAAATTAAACCCTGGTCCAATATTAGTAATCCATAAGAACACAATATTCACAACTGCTTGTGTATAATTATTGATGAATCAGTATTGCAAACCTAATATAAGGACAACAAACGTGAAGATGGACAAAGAGTACTGGTGTCAAACCCTCACTTAATCAATCCCAAGGAGGTCATTATGCAGTTTATTTCTACAAATATGTGTGTAATGTGTTTGTTTTGGACATAGACTGTATGATTTCGGATTGGGCCTTTTATTTTTGAAAGGTTCAAACCGGAAATAATATTGTGGTTACTAGCGGATAACTAGCTAGAGGGTTTAGGCTAGGATAGCTCAGTTTATCTTCTTGCTTTCCACAAACCTCTCCGGAGACATGGACGCCGCAATGTTTCAGCTCAGGTCGTTTGTGCATCAGCGGCTGTACACTGCGGCGGAGGAGATCCTCGGAGAGGTGGAGAAAACCATAAAGTTAGCTTTCGAGGAAGGTCCATCTAAAGACGAGGCTGGACGTCTGCAGGACCTGCTAGACCTGCGAATGAAAGCAGGTTTGAGGCTCCTGTAAATGCATTTTTAAGTTTGGTTTAACTTTAGTGTAACCTCCGTCTAAGTCTGTGTTCAACTAGAAGATAAACAAATGTACTATGGGCTTTTTTTATAACGTTTTCCCTACGGCATATTTAACAGTAAAATGCAGGGTAGGGCCCCCAAATAAGAAAGCAAGTAATATACAAATGTACTGTATTGTAATTCATACTCCTGCATGATGCTCAGAGTAATCTCACTCATTGGCCGATCTGACAGCAGCCCGATGTCTCAACTTCTGCTTTCAAATTGTAGCTTCTCCTATAATATATATTGTTTAATACATTTACTTAAATTGCAAGCTGAACAGGATGTTGGGTAACTTCTGCATCTAATACCTTTACAGCTGCAGAGCGTTCACTGAGCAGCAGCACAGTGGAAAGTGAAGATGAGTGTGATGCCCCACTGCTGAACCAGGGACCCTCAACACCAGAAGACTCTAATTGTAATGCTGAGATCCCAGGACCCTCTCAAACAAGCTCGGATCAGGACAATAATAACTGGAACTACTGCTCGGTTCAGACAGACTTCAAGATGCCAGAGATAAAAGAAGAGCAGGAGGAACTTTGGGATGACGCTCAAACACAGGAGATGTATTTGTCTTCTGAAATTGTGAAAAGTGAGCAAGATCTGCAAGAGGGAGAAATATCATATGAACTGCAGCCAGTTTCTTCAGACTGCTCTGCAGCTCAGAGTGAGAACAATGACAGTGATGATGAGGGTTTGAAAAGCAAAGGAGAACAGACAATGAAGCAGAACGAAATGATATTCCCAGGACAAAGTGGCAGCTTTAATGAGGAGGACCAAGCATTATTGCCCCATGACAAAAGTCCTGCTAAAAGTGGAAAAAGAGGTCGCTGTTGCCATTTTTGTGGCAAGGGATTCCAGTATGTAGGCTCTTTGATGAAGCACATCAAAACACACGAGAAGTCAACTGACTGCACGGTTTGTGGGTTGAAATGCCAGTCCAAACAAGAGCTGTTAGCTCATTTGAAAAGTAATCACAACAAAACATGTTTTTGCGGTGTTTGTGGAAAGACTTTTGACAAACTACGTTCCCTCCGGCTGCATGAAAAAATTCATAAAGACATGAAAGAGTTTGTGTGTCAAGACTGTGGCAAGATATTCTCCCAAAAAGTGCATCTGAGTGTTCATATGAGGACACATTCTGGGGAGAAACCCTATCACTGTGATATTTGTGGAAAAGCATTCAGTCAGAGCACTTACCTTACAATTCATAAGAGAAGTCACTCGGGAGAGAAACCGTTTCATTGTAGCCTGTGTGGCAAACTGTTTAATACAAGCAGTCATCTTAAAACACATATGAGATATCATACAGGAGAAAAACCTTACCCGTGTGATATTTGTGGTAAATGTTTTCGTCAAAGCGGGCAAATGACTACACATAGGACCATACATACAGGAGAGAGGCCCTATGGCTGCCATATTTGTGGTATAAGATACAGGTATGCACCTGGTCTGAAGTTGCACCTGAAATCTCATGAAAAGGCAGCCTCTGAGTGAAACCTCTAACATTAACCAGGCAGACCATCTTGTAAGCTTAAATATAAACATATATGCAGTTTTAGATTAAAATGTATATGAAAAACATGCCATTACAAAGGCAATGATGAATTTTCGGCATCATTAACACTAAATCAACTTGCGTCGTTCATCTAAGAGAGTTCAAAACTAAATTGTTTCTTCGTTTTTTCTATGGGGGGTCGTAAAACAACAAAAAAACACTCAGCAAATTTGGGTACGGAGGAAAAGAGAGAGGGTTTTGTTTCCTGACACTTTGTGAGTTCCCTGCTACACCAGGTACCTTTAATGTACATACAATATTGACCCAATAAAGCTGACATTGTGAGTATATTGCTTTACTGCTCATATGTCTGTATATTTAATGCTATGCAATTGTGCCGATTTTTATGAGGTAGTTAGAAAACCTATATAAAATGTAATAAATGCATTTCATAAACATTTAAATTATTGGTTTGTTGAGTTTATTGTCACTTGTCAAAATGTAAGTATGTTGTTTTCCTTTCGACTATAATCCTAATTATCATTTGAATTTCTCTGCTATAACTCCTACATACAGGTTAAACAGTTTAAAGGAAGATAACTACCGCAGAGTGAAGGTATTCATAGCACGATCAAGGCATAAAAGTTTTCAATCCATACTATACATAAACAATGGGGGAAAGTCAATCAAATCTGTCACCTTGAAGAGATGTAACTCTAAGTGTTGAACCAAAACGTACCATTAATAATGTACTGTATGTAATAAGAGAATTGTCAAAGAAAATAATAAGAATGCCATTAATAGACACATTAAGTAAGCTATGGTTAGTTATAATCCAGATGTGATTTCTCCTCCCATTCTTCACACGCCGACACAGTAGATGGCGGTATGCTACTTTAAAGTTGGTTCGCTAGCCGACGACTCGAAAAGAAGAAGAAGCGACCGTTCGAGCTTTTTCTTAATACTTCTATGGTTTAAGCTAGGTTAGCTACGTTTATATTGTTTATTTCTGATACTATTGGTAATATTATTGTGCCATCATTAAATCTGGAGACATGGACACAGCACTGATTAAGCTGAGGCTGTTTGTTCATCAGCGGCTGTACAGAGCCGCGGAGGATATCCTCGGAGAAATGGAGAAAACCATAAAGTTAGCTTTGTTAGCGGACGGTGGTTCCGACCTGTGTGAAGAGGAGGCTGGAAGTTCGCCACCACCGCTGGATCTGCGGAAGAAACCAGGTTTGGGACTCATATTTAGTGGTATCAAGTAACTAAGTACATTTACTCGATTACTGTACTTAAGTACCATTTTGTGGGACCTGTACTTTAATTGAGTGTTTCAATTGGCTACTTTGTACTACTACCCCACTACATTTCAGAGGTAAATAGTGTACTTTAACTCCACTACATCTATTTTATAAACTTTATTTTTTTCTATAGCACCTTTCAGGGAGGATGCAGAAGTGCTTTACAGAGCAAGACAAGATACATACAAATAACAATGAGTTTAAATAAAGAGTAAGGAACATAATTAAAAAATAAGTTGTAAAAATAAAAAAATGTTTTAAACTTTTCAAAATAAGCAGAATGAGTTGGATCACAAAACCATAAAACAACCAAAATAAAAGATAGGTCTTTTAATTTAAGAATTCCAAGGGAGTTTGCTGTTCTAAGATCTAATGATCCAAAGATCTAAGATCCAATGTATACCTTTAGTTACTTTGCAGATTTTGATTAATGATATGAATTTGAATCAACACTTAAATAATACTTTAGTTACACCTGGAGTAAATCCACAAGCTACCTTACACAGTCATTCAAATTAGCTCCACCTTTACCAGCTGTGATACACACATTACTGCATCAATAATTATAATCAAAACCTATAATATATATACTTATTTTTCTCAAGAAAATGGTTTAAACCCTGCTATAAATGGAAACATAACATGTTGGGTAATTTGGTCACCTTTTTCTTGCAGCTGTGGAGCGTTCACTGACCAGCAGCACAGTGGAAAGTGAAGAAGACGAGTGTGATGCCTCAATGCTGCAGGAGAACCCAGGACCCTCAACACCAGAAGAGTCACATTTTAATGCTGCGATCCCAGGACCCTCTCAAACAAGTGCAGATCTGGACAATAATAATGACTGGAACTACTGCTCGGTTCAGTCAGACTTTGAGCTGCCAGAGATAAAAGAAGAGCAGGATGAACTTTGGGATGACGGTCAAACACAGGACAATTATTTCCCTTCTTCTGTAATTGTGAAAAGTGAGCAAGATCTGCAAGAGGGAGAAATATCATATGAACTGGAGCCAGTTCCTTCAGACTGCTCGGCAGCTGAGAGTGAGAACAGTGACAGGGATGAGGAGTCAGTGAACAACAAAGGGGAACAGACCAACACAAATAAAAGCAAAGGACAAAGTGAAATGCCTAGTGAGAAGAACAAAGCTAAAAGTGAAAAGGGTCGCAGCTTTTGTCATTTTTGTGGCAAGGGATTCCAGTACATTGGCTCTTTGATGAAGCACATAAAAACACATGAGAACAATTTTGACTGCACTGCTTGTGGGATGACATTGCAGTCTACACAGGACCTGATCATTCATGTTAAAGATTGTCACAACGAAACATGTTTTTGTGAGGTTTGTGGCAAGATTTTTGCCAATATGCGTTGTCTCCGGCTGCATGAAAGAATACACGGAAGCATAAGCATAAAAGAGTATGTCTGTCAAGAATGTGGCAAGACTTTTTATCGAAGAGAGCATCTGATTGTGCATGTGAGGACCCATTCTGGGGAGAAACCCTATCACTGTGATGTTTGTGGAAAAGCATTCAGTCAGAGCCAGAACCTTACAATTCATAAAAGAAGTCACTCAGGAGAAAAGCCGTATCAATGTGGCCTGTGTGGCAAACTTTTTAATACTAGCAGTCATCTTAAAACACACATGAGATACCATTCAGGAGAAAAACCTTATGAATGTGATATTTGTGGTAAACGTTTTGGCCAAAGCGGACAGATGACAAGACATAGAACCACACATACAGGAGAGAGGCCGTATGGCTGCCATATTTGTGGTATGAGGTACAGGTTTGCCCCCAATCTGAAAGTGCACATCGAAACCCACGAAAAACCTGCCGCTGAGTAAAAACAATCAGGCTTCTGATATATCTGATTGCAATTTCAAATCATATTTCAGTAAGTTAGATTCATTTTGAAGAATAACTCCTTGAACTCTAATGCGTTTAGATTGAATGTAAATATGTTCATAATTCTCTTTTAGGTTTCTATGTATATAATTAGGATGGCTGAAGCTTTGCACTTTTAAGCTGGTGCAATTTTTGCCAAGACTGTTTCATGTGTTTATTTTTGCATATTGTTCTGTGTAATGTCTTTCTATACTGACATCATATTCCAGCATAAGGAACAATAAAGTTTAGTATCCTGTCATTCACGATGTAGTAGCCTATTCATATTTTTCTGTCTCTGGACACCAAGTAAAAATATAAACACCACTGTTATCCTTCTTTCAGTCTATCCAAACATCAAATACTCCTATGACATAAAGTCTAACTATAATTACAGGGCCATAGCTAGCAAGAAGGTGTTGCTTTGTGCAGATGTTATTGAAGGAACATTTTGTTCCCAAGTTATGGCTTGACAAAGTGAAGTCCTTTTACTAGATGTATTTTAAAAACCACTGGTTCTTAGTTCAAGGTTCATGCTTTAAGTGAGCTTTGTAAGTCTGAATAATATATAGGCAAGAAACAAATTATATTTTCTGAAAAACGTTGAATCCAATTAAAGCATGCTGATCATTATGGATTTCCTTGGCTTTTAACAGCTGCAACTCAAGGGATATTCTGTTGGTGAATTCTAATGAATTTACATTTTACCAAATAATGGAATATAATATAATGTAATAATATGAATATAACAAAAAGTGTATCTCGAGCCGGTTTCTCAAATGTACCTACCCCACCTTTAAGCTTAATATATTAACAGAAACCAGATAACATGATTATTTTTTCATGATCCACGCTAAAGGACACCCCGAGTGAGTCATCTTGATCTCAATATAGGATCTTTGTAGCAATCGTCACAACGGCTTCTGTGTTCGCTTCCGGTTCTGTCCCTTGCTGCACTTGCTGATATAAAACCTATGTATAAAACCAGCATTCTTTTAGCACAGATATGTTCCACCATATGTGCACGGAGGACTCAACTGTCTCCACAATGAGTCAGCTGAAGTCGTGTTTTCATCAGCGGCTGCAGGCAGCGTCAGAGAAGATCTTGGGAGAGGTGGAGAAACACAAGTTAGCTTTAAACGGAGCAAACCTTCAGCGACCAAAAGAAGAGCATAACAGTCAGTGTCAAAAACTACACCATCTGCGCCAGATATCAGGTTTGCTTCTTGGTAACTTTACTTTGGAATCATTTTATCATATCTTATCAAATGTCTCTTAGACCCCTGCAGTGCACAAGAGGAAACCCCACATTACGGAGAAAAACTTTTGAATACAGTCGATGGGGGAAAATGGAAGACACCTCTGGGAGAGCAACAGAGGAGAGGGCACCCTGTCTCAGGACAGACGTGCAATAGATATTGTATCTACAGATTAAAAAACATAGTAACAATGACTACACAGACAATCCAAATGATAAATAATCAAGAAGGACTAAAAGCTTCCAGGTGCCTCCAAAAAATAATGATGAAGGACTCCAAAAAACGAATGTTATAATCCTAATACAGTATATCCTGCTCAATTGTTTCATTAATCTTTAGAGACAACTTGTCAAACTAATAATGCTATTTTCAAAAGGTTCATACTACAACCAACTTCTGTACACTATTTTAAGAAATAAGATAAACACTGCCTACCCTCTTGTAGGTAGGTATAGTGTTTCTCTTATTTCTTGAAATAATTGTGACTCCCTGGTTCTCACTGTTCATGTCAGGGTAAGTCAGTCTTGGGCAGGCATCAAAGTTTAGGCACAGGATTTAGAGAAAACCTGTGCGGATTCATTGAATGTGGATTATGGATCTAATTGAGTATTCAGTAATTAATTCAGATGTAAGCCAAAGAAGCCTATTGAGATTTGTTTTGTCTCCTTTGTGGCTGCAGAACCTCCACTGACTGGACAGGAAGTGCTGCAGGAGACCTCAATACAAGCAGAGTCTAACCTGAGCACGGCTGAGGTCCCACTCCTCTCTCAAACCAGTTCAGATACAGACAGCAAAGATGGCATCTACTGCTTGGCTCAGACAAACTTCAAAATAAAAGAGGAGGAGGAGGAAGAGGAAATCGGAAATGACACTCAAGCACCTGAAGTCATTGTACCTTCTCTTGAAGGTGTGAAAACTGAGCTTCAAGTGAATTATGAATTGCAGCCAATCTCTTCAGACTTCTCTGCAGCTGACAGTGACAGCAATGACGGTGACGAGGAGTGGCTTCAAAACAAAGCAGCGCGGACAAAGAAGAAGGGACGAAAAAGGAAGACTTTGCAAAAAGTGAAATCTGAATTGCAGCCAATCTCTTCAGACTTCTCTCCAGCTGACAGTGACAGCAGTGACGATGATGAGTGGCTTCAGAACAGAGGAGTGCAGACAAAGAATAAGGGACCAAAAAAGGAAACTTTGCAACAACAAAATGGAAGCATTAAGCAGAAGGACGCAGAAGTGTTGCCTGATTGTCTTATATGTGGAAAGAATTTCCAGCACATCGGTCCCTTCATCAAGCACATTAAAGAACACGGGGAGACGAGTGAATCTACGAAGAATCTTTTAAGGCATTTGCATAGTGCTCAAAACCAACGGCTAATATGTGATTTTTGTGGCAAGAAGTTCACCAACGCTGGGTGTGTTCAATTACATTCAAAAATACACACAGGGACTAAAGACTTTAAATGTCGAGACTGTGGGAAAACCTTTGTCCAAAAAATACAAATGATTGTGCACATGAGGATCCACACAGGGGAGAAGCCATATCAATGTGATCTGTGTGGAAAAGCATTCAATCAGAGACACAGCCTCATTGTCCACAAACGAACACATACAGGGGACAGACCTTATTCCTGTACGACATGTGGGAAACAGTTTTATACCCTTGGTCATCTCAAAGCGCACATGCAGCGTTTTTACGGGACAAAACCCGTCATCTCGTAAAAATGTTCATAAAACGTTTTGCCAAAGCCGGCAGTTGATTCGACAGAAGAGTGCACACCCAGCAGAGCGCACAGACTAACTTTCTTCATGTGTGGAGCCTAAATGCACCACTTGATTGTGTGTTGTTTTATATAACATGGCTGTCAATATTTGTTCCATAAAAAATGTATCTAGTGTTGCAAATATTAATATTTTTGCCCTTCTGTATGTACGATCAACAACGCCTTAAAGTGGTAAAATGTACGATCATTTGACCCCATGTTGACACTTCAAACACATATTCATCAATTCTTCAATCACAAGGTCCCTTCCCTCCAAATCATACAGATTTAAAAACAGTGGAGTGACCAATATGATGTCACACAGACAGAAATGCTGCCATGAATACTGCCTGAGGGGAAACTAATTGCAATTGCCACAATAGGGTGAATCTTCAAGCATCATACAAGTTTGCTTTCCATCCTTATTGTTTGTCTGAGATATTGGTTTGCAGCAGGTTCATTGGTAACACTTTATTTTGATAGTCCATAGTTAACACTCTATAAGTCATCAGTTGACATTTAGTAGCATGTCAACAGTGCATCAGTTGACATTCTGAACTTTAGTTGCTTATCTGTTGATCATCAACTAATGCTTAGTTACTTGTCGGTTTGAACGGTGCTGTTGAATGTCAACTGATGCACTGTTGACATGCTACTAAATGTCAACTGATGACTTATAGAGTGTTAACTATGGACTATCAAAATAAAGTGTTGCCGGTTCATTTTATTTGGCCATAACTCTTTTTGTTTGTCCTCCAAAGTAAGAATAAAAAAAGTTTTTGCAATCCAGCGATGCTTGTGCATATCATTACTTCCTGCATCCCTCTGCTGCTCTGAAAGATGTATTCTTCTGCAGTTTGGCCAACAGGTGGCAGAAGACTCACCAAATACTCTTGATGTTTTTTGCGGGGATTTTGTAGCACTTTGTTCTCTATTTTTTTATATATATATATATATATATATATATATAGTTGCTCCAAAGGTCCCATAGCACTAATATAGCTGTCAGTCAACACCATGAATTTCTGTCTCATACCCCGAACCAGGGATCTCTATGTGATGCATCCGATTTCAAAGATTGAAATGTATGTTACATTTTGTATTAAATGAACTTCGGACAAATAAGCAAAGTATCGCTTGTTTTATGTAACATGTTATGCTACTGGGAATCAAAGTGTTTAAACCTGTTCATGTCACTTTGTGCAGTCAGCTTTTAAAGGTCAGTCATCACCTCCCACACAGTGTCTGGTCCGCTCTGAGGGTCCTGGTTGAAAAGGGCAGAAGGCAACATTAAAACATGCACATCCTAAAAACCAAACGCTAGCTGTCAACCTCCTTCAGCTCTGTTCTCTCTATATACTTTGTGTTGACTCCTTTACCAAAATTAATGACGAAGAGCACCAGATTAAGAGGAATTTTATCACACTAGACACACTAGACACATTAAACTGGGCTCTGTGCAGTACACACTCACTCATTTACGGTCCACATATGTATATCTTTTTACACTAAACCATATTTAATTCCACTTTACTGTATTACATTTTACATTCATTTGTATCTAATTCTATTTTACAAATTCATTGAATTATTCCTGAATTGTAAATGCTGAGTCCCTTGCACCGTACTCTTTCCATATTTTGTGTGTCTTGCTTTATTTTGATTTGTTTATGTTTTAGTTAAACTACATGTTGCACTGTTGGAGTAACCTGGGACTTTCATTGTCAACAACTATACTGTAGCTATTGTGCATAACCTTTCAAGTCTATGATGATTGTAGATAATTGCCTTATTCACACTAAATTAATCCTCAATAGTGAGATACATAATAGAAATTAGTTAAAACCAGATATTTCCATCCCTTTTAGTCAATGACAAGGAATGATTTTGTCTTTTTGAATAAAAGGATGTTGTTCAGTAACTTTGAGCATCATTTTCCAGGTCATGCAATTACATAATGGTGCGTATGGACTGCGGTGTCAGAGTTGAGCTCGGTGTGTGTTTTGACGCCGAGGACAGCAGCCGAGAGGAGGAGTCGCTCCGTCAACTGTTGGCCTCTCGAGTCTAATCTGGATTACCGCTGTGTCCAGGCTGCAGCCAGGGCTCCAATAATCACATTATTCCGAATTGACGTCTCCCGAAGACGCGGTGTGACACGGTGCTGCTGACGCGTTCATTTTAAAGCTGAACTGTAAAATATTTTCAAGGTGTTTGGATGATTTTGCCACGAAGATTGACTACACATCCAGTGAAGTTGAGTGAATATTTGTAGACTGCGATGGTGCGCATCCCCGCGCGCAGTACCCCGCGCGCTGCAGCATCCACACTGTGCACTGCAGCCTGTACTTGAAGCACGTTTCTACACAAACCTCTGCCACTGAGATCACAAGAGCAGCTGGTGCAACATGCCACATTCAGGTAAGTCCTGTGCGTTGACTGATGCAGCAGTTAAACTCATGCAGCAAACACATGTTTTTGTGATATACATGTAATAGCAGTAGAATACCTGCCTTTTATTTGGAAATATAAGATTTATGGTGAGGACATGCTTGATGGATTTGTCCTATCTTGAAATGCACAAAGTTTATTGGGACAAAGGGGACTCATTTAAATGCCTGACTGATTGTTTGGCTTACACTGTCTATTAACAGTGAACCTTCTTTTAAGCCCTGGAGATATTGGCTTAATGATTTGCATAATGAGATGAAGTGCAGCTTTACTAAAACTGACTCTGTGATACCCTGACAAACTCAGAGTGCTGTGCCAAATGTGTCAGCCATTAGGTTAAAATGGCAGTTGGGGTGAGGATTAAGCCTTTAAAATAAACGTTGTGTCTCATTGTGTGATGCCAGGCTGCTATAGACAGTCACATTTAATCATACCGCACTCCAATGGGTTTCAATTATGTCTCTCTAAGATTGAAAAAAAATATTTTTGTATCTCATTGTCGATTGATAGGTTAAGTGGATAATCGATAGGGAAAGACAGCAGGATTCTATCCCATGTTGACGTCAGAGATAAAAGTGAGATTTTCTGATGTTCACTTCATTTCTTCCCCTCCCTTTTAATCCATTGTTACTGCTTCACCAGTCATTATAGACTGTGGAATAAACCTAGACCATCATCATCTGCAAATACACAGGGTGTAATGTTACTATTTCTCTGATACCCTAAGAAAATATTCTGTAGAACTAGGATAGCGAAGGACTTTTTTAAACTTACTAACTTTTCCTTCAAATAGGCCTCTTGTTACCTCCAGTCAGCAATATGACTACATTGAACTCAACTTTCTTCTCCGTATTGGATGGCCTGCAGTCACTTGGGGCTTACCTGTTGGAAGTTGAAAGATTGCTTTGTTGATTCACATAATAGTTATAGTTGCTGCTTTAATGTGAACTTTCTTGTTCAAAATCCAATCCAATCCACTTTATTTATATAGCCCATATTAAAAACAGAGGGTTTTACCGAAGTGCTTCACAGGAGACATAACATTATAATAAAATATAATATTACAATAATAGATAAAAGGCACACATAAGAATAGATAAAAAGGCACATAAGGGCTATGGACAGACAAATAAAAGCATAACAATCGATAAAACATAGCTCAAACTGACTCGAAAGCGAGGGAAAAGAGGTGGGTCTTCAGGCGGGACTTAAACGTTTGAAGGGTGGGCGACAATTTGACATGGGGGGGCAGGTCGTTCCAGAGCCTGGGGGCTACCGCTGAGAAGGCTCGGTCTCCCCTGGTCTTCTTCCTAGTTTTTGGGACTACCAGCAGCAGCAGCTGATCAGCTGACCTCAAAGCCCTTGAGGGGGTGTACACCTCACCACAGTAAATGACATTACTCAGTACATTTGGACTTCATAGCTCAGTTCTTTCTCGAAGGCTGCCCCCCCACGCTAATTAGTGTACATTTGTCATGTGTTTGATCATTGACTTTAACTACAATCCTCCTTATTATATAACAGCACATTCTGCTACACTTTCCCCTCCCAAGGGACAGACCAAAGACATTGATTTTCTGTCTTCCTGCAGAAGTTCTTCCTCAGTCTTGGCTGGAAAGCTGCCAAATCCTTGCTGACTCCGTCTTCCACAGAGCAGCAGAGGTTTTCCTCTCTCTGTCAGCACCAACTGATCCAAACTAAGTCCGAAATAGAAATTGATTAGAGTAATGCAGGGTTGTCTGGAGCAGGATAAGCACTGACAGAGCAGCACTTTTTGTTAATTAGATTTGACAAACAGTTCAGCAGGTTGGTGTTAGAAATGAACATCTCTCCAGAGTGCAGAGAAGTGAAAGATAAGGTGGGAGCCAATGGGAAAGTTGAATTGTACTGCAACATGGTAACAAATCACTATCTGTAGCCTAAACAATTGGTTTAATCAAGGTTAGGGAAATAATTTAAAATATATTGGATAACGGCCAATCATTGCTCAAGTGTTTACCGTTTCATTTTCTGCTGATCCTTTTTTGTAAAAATGTGGCCTCAATAATGGCAGGAACATTTGTTTGTGACATCAGTATCCTCTTCTGTTGTGTAAGGAATCTGGCTGCAGTGTTTGCTATGTGAACAAGAAGATACAAAAAAAATCATGGTTTAAAGGGAAGAGAACATTTTAAGAGCAATGGACAAGACTAGGCGGGAAGTCAGAGCGGTGGATGAACAAAAAGCATAGAGGTTTAATGTCAAATGTTATGCTGCCATTAAAAATAATGATGTTGCTACACAAGGTGGTTTTAGCTTTGGAAAATGACAACATTTTAAATACATTTTTCACTTTCCAGCATCCAAAATGATGTACTACAAGTTACCCGAAGAGGACATTACAAATCTTCATGCAGTTAAAGACTCCCTAGCGCCTTGCTCAATGTCTTCAGGGACCCAGTTTTGTTGACCACATTCTCTCAATAGCTTCTTGTTGATGGCCAACATGGAAGAAAGCAAGCTTATCTTCAGCCTGGACAGCCGTAATGAAGGTCCCACAGTGGCTTTTTCCAAAGACAAACCAGAAGACAGGAAAAGCCAGCCTGACCTCAGCCTGGGGATGGATTTCGACTTGAACCTCAGTCACCGATCCCAGCCCCCCTTCCTGCCTCACTCCCCCTCCTCACCGGGCTCTTTAGCTGATCTGTCAGCATCATCAGCTGATATACTTCTCACCAGCAATCTTATCAAATCCTCCTTCACAGAGCTGGAGCCGAGGGAGAGCAGCTCCCTGCGGGGGAAACCTCTGCTCAGTCTGGTCAAGTCTCTGAGCACAGAGATTTCCCGCCGGGTCGAGCCAGAGGTTAACCTCTCCAAGTCAGACTCCAAGCTGCATATGCATCCCTGGAAGCAGGTTACCCATCCAAAAATCTCAGAGGTCAGGTCTGAAGCAGGAGGGCTGTATGAGGATGATGACTGGGAATCTCCTCTTTCTGCTGGCGGCCTGCCTCCCCCTGAGCCCCGAGGCAGCTCCCTGATAGCTGAGCTGGAGGACACGCGGAGGAAGTTCTCCGAGGCCATGCAGGATCCGCTAAGCATGCTGAGT